TTCGACACTTTTCAATTCTTTAATTTACTACAAAACTTGACACCGTGCGCTTGAGGTATAAAATCACGTTATATAAAACGCGTGGCAAGTTTTTGACGCCGTTGCTGGGGATTGATTCATTTGAATTCAGTTGATATTATTACCGATCGGTGTTCATTTTACTCTAGATTTTATTTTTACCGTTATTTTTATTTTACTTCTTTTGTGTCTATCTTTAAAAGTTTCCTTTTGATTATTTTCAACTGTTTATGCGAAGGGCGAGAAATCTAGATCTACTACCTGTTGATCCTGAACCAGAACGCACATTTCGCATTCTCAGAGGTATACAAAGAAACGAACGGGAAGCAATGGCAGAACAGGATGTTAGAGCAGCCAATGAGGATAACCAACAAAGGGCTATTCGGGACTACATAAGGCCGGTTGTCAATGACAACTATTCCGGCATCGCACACCCAGCAATTGCTGCAAACAATTTCGAATTGAAGCCAGGGTTGATACACATGGTACAACAAAATCATTTTGGGGGTGCTGCAGTAGAAGACCAAAATGCTCATCTTGGATCCTTTTTGGAAATTTGTGACACGGTGAAGATGAATGGGGTTACTGAAGATGCAATTAGACTCCGCCTATTCTCGTTCTCTTTAAGGGATAAAGCAAAGGCTTGGTTCCAATCACTACCGTATGGCTCAATTACAACTTGGGATGATTTGGCTCAGAAATTCCTCACCAAGTACTTTCCACCTTCTAAATCAACTCAACTTCACAGTGAAATTAGCCAATTCAAACAACTCGACTTCGAGCCATTCTATGAAGCCTGGGAAAGATTTAAAGATTTGCTTAGGAGATGTCCTCAACATGGGTTCCAGAAATGGATGCAAATTGAGATATTTTATAATGGGCTAAATGGGCAGACAAGGACTATGGTAGATGCAGCTGCGGGAGGCATTTTAATGGCTAAAACAGCAGAGGCTGCATATGCTTTATTGGATGACATAGCCACTAACAGTTACCAATGGCCAAGTGAGAGATCGGGTGTAAAGAAAGTAGCAGGATTTCATGAAGTGGATCCCATCACCGCACTAGCAGCTCAGGTTGCATCACTCACAAATCAGATAGTCACGCTTACCACTCAAGGAAATCAACAGAAGGTAGATTCAATCATGAGTGCTTCTTCTTCAAACCAAGAGACAGAGGTCACAAACGAGCAGGCCCAATATGTCGACAGTAGAAACTACAATCAAAGAGGAAGCTACCAAGCTAATCACTACCATCCAGGGCTGAGGAATCACAAGAACTTGTCATATGGCAACAATAGAAACACACTTCAACCTCCACCCGAATTCAACACTCAAAATTCTGATGGGAAACCACCCTTGGAAGACATCCTTGGGACGTTCATTTCTGAGACAAGATCACGCTTCAACAAAAATGAATTACGGTGGGATAATATTGAAACACATGTGTCCAACATGGGAGCCACAATGAAGAATCTGGAAGTCCAAATTGGCCAATTGGCTACCTCAATGAAGTCTCAGCAAAAAGGAAAATTTCCCATTGACACTGAGGTTAACCCACGGGAACACTGCAATGCGATCATCCTAAGGAGTGGTAAAATGGTTGAAGAAAGCAAACCTAAGAAAATTGTGGTGCCTACGTCGGATGTCATAGTTACGGAGGAAAGGCAGAGTGAAAGGCAGAAAACTGAGGCAGAGGGTACAAAGATCTATAAGCCTTACTCGCTCTCATTTCCGGACAACCCACCAATCTTGAAGCCCCCACTACCATTCCCACAGAGGTTCATGAAGAAGAAATTTGATGACCAATTTGCAAAATTCCTAGAAGTCTTCAAGAAAATCCACATCAACATTCCCTTTGCAGAAGCTTTGGCCCAAATGCCTAACTACGCCAAATTCTTGAAGGAAGTGATGTCAAATAAGAAGAAGCTGGAGGAGTTCGAGACAATTAAGCTAACAGAGGGGTGTAGTGACATACTTCAGAAGCTTCCTCACAAATTGAAAGATTCAGGCAGCTTTAACATCCCGTGCAATATTGGTGGTATCACATTTGATAGGGCACTGTGCGACCTTGGAGCTAGTATAAACCTGATGCCCCTATCAGTGTTCAAAAAGCTGGGTCTTGCAGAAGTGAAGCCCACAACCCTCACTTTGCAACTGGCGGACAGATCGATCACATATCCCAAATGCATGATTGAAGATGTATTGGTGAAGGTCGATAAGTTCATCCTTCATGTGGACTTTGTGGTGTTGGACATGGACGAGAACGAGAAAATATCGTTGATTCTTGGTCGACCTTTCCTAGCTACTGGAAGAGCATTAATTGATGTCCAGGAAGGAAAATTGACACTGCGGTTTAATGAAGAGCATGTGACTTTCAACATCCATCAAGTAGAAAAGCCTCAAGAAAAAGTCAACATTTGCAATATGGCCCAATCGGCTGAAGCAGTTTTAGGTTATAGAGAAAAAAGGAAGTGTTCTATGACCCTTTAGAACAATATATGGCTCTCAATTACTTAGTAAGGGATGCATCTACTGATGGCAAATACTCAGGAGCCGAAGAAGTAGTGGATGTCATATTCACCCAAGAAGTTGATCCACCTGACAAAAAAGAAGACTATGTGGCTAGGCTTTTGAAACCTCCAAACATTGTCAAACCAAAAGAGGTTTTGAAGGCTACATCGAGGTTCAAACCGCCTAATTTTATTGGCCATGCTACGATGAAGGAGAATGCAAAGCCGAGGGTAAAATTCAGAAACAAGAAAGATGCTCCACCCGAAGATCCACCGTAGACACCTTGGTTGAGTCAAACTAGTGACTATAAAGAAGCGCTTCTTGGGAGGCAACCCAAGCTTTCATCTTTATTTAAATATTCTGTTTTTGAATTTTAGGATAATTTATTTTATTTCAGAGTTGTTATTTAGGAATTCATCAACCCTACCCGTCCCTTAGGTTTTTGAAAAATCAAGTTGGTTATCGATGTTTGAGCTAAGTACCACTTGTTCCATGAGTTTAATATCTACATTGTGATTTTTTAGGAACATGACATCGCAGATCAATCAAACAACATTGAAAAAGGAGAAGCTGGATAAATCTCAAGTTTGAGGGAAAAGCTAGAAGAAACGTCCATCAAATTCAACATTAGTGCACCAAATCATCGTTGGCAATTCAGACAATTCAGAGAAGTCCTCCTCTTTTTCTTTTAATTTAACATTGGGGACAATGCTTAGTTTAAGTTTGGGGGAAGTGTATTATAAGTTGTCTAATTGCCAAAAATTTTGGTTCTGTCTGATTTGGGTGCAAATTTTTTGATTTGTTTGTTTTTTTTTAATTATTTGTTTTTTTTATTATTTATTTATTTAATTTTTATTTGTGTGCATTGTCAAATAAAAAAAATTTCATTTCGTATTTTGCATGCTTGTGTGAGTTAGATAGCCTTGCCGACAATGATGTATAATATTAAGAACATGTATTGGTTCATGGATTATGGATAAGTTATATGTCTGAGTTAGATTTTTGCTTATTCGTGTGAAACAGAAATTATTTTTGCACGTGGGTTGATTGTAGCGTTGTACATGAGTATGTTGATCTATGTTTATAGGTTGAATAAGAGAACTTAGATGCTAAACCCAAACAACCTTTAAACACTATAATACCCTAAAACCAAATATAGGTTGTTTGGTAGGTTAAGCTGTTGCAGGAAAACTTGGAGATAAATGTGGATTCCATGTGTGCTAAATTTTGTGTGGATTGTCTGAGACTAATAGGATGAAAATTGGATGAAAACTTTAAGTTAGAGATCGATTTTCGAGAATAGGTGTTTAATAAGGGGCATTGCACTAATCATTGCATAAAAAAAGATCCAATGAGGACAACTTTAATAATCTCATTGTGAATCGTCTTTTCGTAGCCTTTATGACTCGAGTAATTAAGCCTGTAAGGGTTTAAAACTTGGTGCCCTAAAGTCGTCTGATTTGGGAGTCATCGGCCTAAAACTCATTACAAGGGTCATTTAGAAAGCTTGAGGGAGTGACGTCCACACAAGGGGTGTTTAAAGAATACATGTATAAAAAAAAAATTATATATCACATACTTTGATTAAGCCCCAAACACTTGTTTTAGAGGATTAAACCTTTGATGAGATGTTAGTAACTTAGTTGATTCCTAGAGGTTGAAGCAGTCAAAAATAAGGAGAATTTTAATCTGTTGATAGGTTGAACTGCAATAGTGAAATCTAACCAAACTTGAGTGATGTAAGAAATTAGCATTGAAAAAAAAAATCAACTTTAGAATACACCTTGGAAAGAGAAAAGAAAACAAGTTTGGAAGTGTGTGAATCCCACGAGCGAGGCAAGGAAATATTTTACTTTTAAGGTCGAAAATTGGGTCAATTTATTATTGTACAGCGTTATGCTTAACTTTCCACACACACACACTTGTTTGCATTGAATGAGCAAGGATTTGACGTCTGTATTATAGTTTTGAAGTACTTCATGAATTTGACGCTGTGTTCTTAATCTTGAGTAATAAATGCAAGGTGTCTAACATAAAGTTTCTTTTGAGTGACTTTGTCTGTCTTAGTCGTGTTTTTGTGCTCGTTAATAATTATCTTTAGTTTTGTGTTTGCTCGAGGACAAGCAAAGAACTAAGTTTGGGGGTGTTTGATAAGTGTAATTCACTCATTAAACTAAAGCTTCTAAATCAAGTTTTTTTTATGTGTTCTTGAGCATTTTTGAACGTTTTGATGTGTGTGTTAGTGTTGTTTTGCAGTTTGGACAACTCTCGAGAAAATACCACTATTGGGAGCCGGTGATGAGCAAAAATGATGATCAATGAAATGGAGCATGAATAAGCAAGTATTGAATAAAATTGGAGTGGAAAATAGGCTTGGAAAAACAAAGAGAAGAGAAGCAAAGCAGTGGCATTGGCGCCATGGCGCCCTAAAGAGAGGCAATTCCAGTAGAAACCTGGGCGCCATGGCACCCAATGAAGAAAAAAAAGGAGCAGAACCTTGGGCGCCGCGGCGCCATGGCGCCCAATGAAGAAAAAGCGAGCAAAGACTTGGGCGCTAAAACCCGAATTTTTAAGTATCTTTTCGGCCCAAAAATCATACCCTAACCCTTGAGAACCCTTAGAAAATATAAATACCCAGTTGAAGAACAAGAGAAGGGGGTTAGACGGCTGAAGAGGCAAGAAAAAGAGAGGCACCAATTGAGAGAAGATTGACCCGATTTTGGAGAAAAAGAAGGGAGAAACTGAGAAATCAAGCCACAAGATTGAGAAATAGAGCAACAACCTGAGTTTTTTCTTATCTTTCTCTTCTTCATGCAATTTAATTTGTATTTTATCATGTTCTTCTTCTCAATCATGAACTAAGTTGTTAAATCTAGGGTTTGATGTAACCTATTTGAGACATGATTCAATTTCTTTATAGTGTTTCCATTTAATTTTCTAGAATTGATTTGTATTGTTCTTGCTTAATGCTCTCAGTTGCCTGATCACCAATTGAATGAATTGATGTTCTAAATTTGACGCTCGAGAGAGGGAAAATTTATGCGTGATCTAAGAATAATATAACCTAGGTTTGTAGGTTTCAAGAGAAAGTATGAATCTTTAAGGGTAAAACAAGAACCAAGTGCGTGATAATCTTTATATATTTAATTCGGAATAGAGATATTGGGGTCAAAATATAGAGATAGGTTCTATTTGACGCTCGAGAGGGGGAAATAGAATTAATTTAGGATTCTTGCCTATGAATTTGGGAAATAGTTGATGGAAATATCTATAGGGATTGAGAATTATGTCGAGAATACGGTGAAATCATTCCCTAGACATTACGTAAATTTGATTTAGTCTTTAGAAATTGCCTCACTTTTATTGCACTATTTAATTCATTGACGTTAGTTTAGTATTCAAACATTAATTTAACACTCGATTGTCTAGATAAAGTAAACGCGGACACAATTATAGTACTCAGTGGAAGTCGAATATCAATCCTTGTGGGTTCGACACTTTTCAATTCTTTAATATACTACAAAACTTGACACCGTGCACTTGCGGTATAAAATCACGTTATATAAAACGCGTGGTAGATTTTAACAATGAAATATATAAAGAACTCAGTAAAGAAAGACACAAAAGATACATAAAATTGGACTGCTTTATTTTGTAAGAGTTAAGATTAAACGTATTATTTCTTGAATTAATGTAGTTTTGTAAATATTAAAAAATTAATTATAATACGGAACCTGGTTTACCAAACCGAACCAAATCGAATGGAACCGAACCCAAACGGTTCCATAATTAAATTTAGACCCGACAATTCTACTTACTAAATACCCAAAAATTTCGGGTCCTGTTAAGTTCTAACGGGAACTGAATCAGACCATGTCCAGTCCTAATATTTGTATGATAAATGCATACAATAGTCTAGTGCTTGCCACTTGGATTGGTTGTAATGGTTTGGTTTTATATAGGTATGTTTTCTTTAAGAAAAAGGATAGAAGATTCAATTCTCCGTGCAGAGATGTTAGCACCAATAGCCTTGTACCATGAAGAAGTAAGACATGTCAAGCAAGAAGAAATTATTCATGATCATGACTTGTGGGATGACCCGGGGAAGTCGAATGAAATCCTCATCAAACTAGCCGACAGTGCCAAGGTGGTTGATGCCCTTAAACACCTCAAATATAAGGTAGTGTGCTTCTCGTGCAAGTATTTGTATGTCTATTTGGAGACAATTGCCAACTAGAATACTTGAAAGTGTGTGTATGTGTGTGTGTGTAAATTTGCTCATTTGTCTGTAATATACTAAGTTATTTAAGGTTATAAGATGCTCATGAAGGGGGCTCAATATTTTGAGAAGTTGTAAACATCTATTGCAGGCTGAGGAAGCTAAACTGATTAAGGAGCTTGCAGAGCTGGATACTGTAAATTACAAGCTTTTCAAGCAGGCATATTTTGCATCTGTAGATTTAAACAAGTTTTTGAATAAGTATGAGATGTCTAAGTTTCTTAAAAAGTCATATGACATGGAGGGAGCATGTCCCAAAATTGAATCTAGATGTGGAGACATTTACTTAGAGGTTCGTGGTTTGAGACTTTATGCTTTTCTGTAGAGACACTGTTCTTTTAAATGGCTCTTTTAAATGGAATGACATTTATAACTCATCAGTGAGGGATGATTTAACTTCGTAAAAAATATTTATTATTCTATAATCTGCTTCTAATCTTGACTCTCTAAAGTTTTACTTTGTAGCCATAACCTATTTTTTTAAACCAAATCTTTTATTGATTTGTTAGTCAGTTAATGAAGGTTCTACAAGTTTCAAGATTAGGACTGTCCATGAGCATTTCCTAGAGAGTTTCTATTATATACATGAATGACTCGGTTGAATCCTTTCTTTGAGCTTTCTTACATGGTCAATGTGATTGTCTATGATTCATTCTTGCTAATCATAGTTCCTTTTATCTTCTTTTCGAATTTGGCTTTATGTCTTTATCAATTGTTATGGTGTTTCTACTAAGTTATAGTTACAATTTTTCAAATTGGTGACTAATTCTGCATACCTCATTGCTTTTTCATTGGATTTTTTTTATTATTTTTTTTATTTTTTGCATCATTCGTATATTCATTGTATGAATAAGTTTGAAACAAACCTCTAAACCATAGTAGACTTTTAGTATAGCTGGCTACGTGAATCAGCTTCTTCGTCTCTAGATTTACAAGGACCATTTCCTTCATTAATGTACCAAGGCATACGAGTTACTTGATATTTTAGGAAAAAAGGTGCGCTTTTATCTCATAAGCAGTAGGTCTGTATTTACAAGGACCATTTCCTTCATTAATGTACCAAGGCATACGAGTTACTTGATATTTTAGGAAAAAAGGTGCTCTTTTATCTCATAAGCAGTAGGTCTGTATTTTAATTTGTTAAATGGAATAGGGTCTTCTCCATTAAGATCTTGATGTAAAATTTATTTAGACATGGGCAGGATAACTCACTTGAATGTGCCTGAAATGGGCTGAAAAGCAAGGTCATGCAGTGAGGTTAGTTAAGAGATGTCCTACAAAGAATGGAGGTATCAAGTCAGCAACAATTGAATTCGAATTCAAATATGCTTATGGCTATCTATCAGGGAAAAGGGGTGTTCACCGAATAATTGGAACTCATAAGAGTGAATTTAATTATCCGGGGGTATGAATTTCTGTTACTATTACAAAGGACCCAGAAATTTCATAGTTGTGATTAACTTTTTATTGTCAATTGATTGCTAAGGAAAGAACACTTTCGTACTTTCATTAATAATTTCTGCATTATCTATTTGGTAGATGTTATTTAAAACAATAATAAACCAAGCCTTATTCCCGATAATATAGGACATGAATCCTTTTTGGCCATTTTTTTAGGTCATTACTATATCTTTTGGCAGAATTGATAAATGGTAGTGCTCATGAAAAATGACTTACAATCCCTGGGATCATTTCGTGAGCAACAGGGAATCTGGCCATGACCACATCACGTTTGACAGGTTGCAATGGAAGAACACTACTGTACATAGTATCATGGTAAATAAAAATTATTTTAATGTAATGTTGGGCAAATTTCTAATAGAAAATAGGGTCCTGGAATAGGCTTTGACATAATGGTTATCAAAAGGTAAGGATAGGCTAAATATATTGTAGGGAACAATCAATTAGGTGTTTCAATTTCATGAAAAATTTGGTATACTAATACCTTAGATAAGAATAAGTTACATGATTACGTTAGAGGTGAACACTCTTCACCAGATTTGTCAACATATAAATACATTGATATTGATAATAAGGAAAAACCTATGACATACTGCATATTGATTTGTGTGTGGAGTTTCCACAAGTTATAGCCAGGCATATCTTGGTTTGAGAAATTAATAGTGTTCCTAAAGTGTCAGAATGGTGGCAAAAGAACCACAAGAATCTATGCATGTTTGGCAAGTTTACTTCTAAGTAAAGTTTTGTTTCCAAACTTATTCGATACAGTTTTCTTACTTAGAACTAAAAAAAAGTTATTTGGGCAGTAAGGCGGGTATTATTTTCAAAATAGGCGCAACTTATTCCAACTTTGCCCAACAAAAATCTTTAATTTTATTTTATAACCTACTTATTTACTTTTCAGTGAAGTTTTTAGGCTAAGCCAAACACATGCATGCAGTGTTTGTCATTTTGGCTAGTGAGTTTGGCTCTCAGTTCCATACCCAGCATCTTCAAATATCTTGTTCAGTTTTAGAATTGGCTATTGAATAAGCAGTGGTCCTTTAACATCCCATTCTATATTCACATAATATAACATATAGAACCCTAATTCTTCATTTTCTTGGTACTAGAGTTTCAATTCCTTGTTTATAGCATAATTTGGAAATTTTGAGAAAGAAATTTCATTTTTACATCTAATATCTAATTTTAATTGACCCTTAAACTCTTGATATGAAGGCCCATATTATATACTATTGCTGCATCACTATTGCTAATATGCTGTAAGCTAGCTTTGCGGCTATGGATGTGATTCCTTTGTTCCTTGAATCATCACTCAGACTATTAATTGATGAGAAGGATCTACTAGTCTCCTGCCCATCATCTTCCAAGAAGTTAGGCGAGATTTCTTCATCAGTTTCCATTCAGCATATTTTAACTGGTGTGGAAGTCCAATCAACAGGTGAGAATTTGGCTTGGGATAGTTAGAGCTTCTGTTAAGTTCATATCGTTATTTTTCTTGCTTTTGTAGTAATATAGTTCTGATGCATGTACTTGGCTCAATTTCTTTGATAAATATACACATTTGAACTCCACACAGACAGCAACGCTACCAAATATACACATTGTTTCACAAACATACCCAGAATTTCTGACTTGTGATGGCAATTATTAAGTGCCTCGAGGATAATGAAAAAAATGAGTAAGTAAACGAATTACGATATTTGTACCTTTAGAAATTTCATATTTTTTACTTTTAAGAAATCATCTTGCAGCTTTTGCTGCTGTCATAAATAAAAGGCTTCCTTGTCATGGTTGTTGTTCACTGAACTTCGGGAGTATGTATTTCCTTACCAAAATAGTACACAACCCGAGCTCATGAGCTATTGCATTTGCCTATTTGTTCTAAAACAGAAAATGTCAAAAGGAGATGAAAAGAAGTACAAGGCACCTTGCTCTACCTTACAAGTTTTTGTTTAAAATGTGCATTTTTATATTCCACATTTTCAAAATGTTCTACAATCAATAAGAGAAGATGAGCAAGAGAAAGAAAGGCCAACGAAAAAGACTGTTCTCTTTACAGGTGAATGTGTCATGCTGCGGACAAGATTAAGGCCTTTAACCACTTGAAGGCTAAACTTCTCATTATTTTAAGGGATCAACGTACATCTGGTGTGAGTAACATAAAGAAAGATGAGCTTGTTGATATGCGGAGTCCCGAGGCATGAAGGTATGTGTTTCGACCCACCAAGATGGTAGAAGATGCGAAAACCGATACCCAATTTCCTGATGTAAATGCTGTGTTAAATGGAAATATTGACTCTCTTATTGTGACTAACATTAATACTAGACGAGCATATAATGTCGTTTAACCAGTTTCGGTTCGCAATTTTGTTTTGTATATCTTGTTTTTATTTTTATATTTGTTGGTATAAAATCATCCTTTTCTATGTGAGCTACTTATTTTTGGGTTTCTAATAGCTCTTTGCCAAGCCATTAATGTTGCCCTTGAGAAACAAGGGAATCCATCCATTTACTGCATTTCCTTTTTAGGATTATTGCCCATTTTTTGATTTAATTTATATATTTTTACTTTAATTATATGTTAATTAGTTTTAAATGATATAAACCAGAAACGATATCATACCTGCGAAACCTTAACCTATCTCCGTCCCAATTTACGCAATTCACACATTCCCCATATTTATACCCACCTGTAAATTATATTTTTTGAAGCGGTGGGAAAATCACTAATACATATCTGAATCAAAACCATGAAAAAAGAAATTATCGATTCCACGAAAATTTCATAGTGGCCCAACTGTAAAATTGTTTCCACCAAACTGCTAATAGGGATGACAACAACCATGAAGCTTCACTGCCCATTTTCTTTTCAAAAGAAAAAAAGAAAAGGAAGTTTTTTAAAGCTTTGCCCTCACATGAGGCTTAAATAAAACGCCTCAAAAGGGTAAGCCTTAAGAGCCATTGTGGGGCGCAAACCTCAATTTATTAAGGCTTATGCCTCATGTGAGACTTATTTACTATTTTACCGATCTAGTTCTTATTTGTTGCAAGTTAGACTTTTTATTTTTTTTTAATTTATTTTATTGTTAATATTTTTAATATAGTTTATGGGTTATTATGAGCATATTTCATATTTTATATTATTTGGATTTTTTTTTTTAATTTGTCTCGAAGCTTACTTATAAGATGTCTCGGCATCCTGTTAAGCTTATTTAAATTAGACACTACCCTTCGCATGAAAAGAAAAATTTCTTATTTATAACATTTGACCATATAGCAAATGCAACTTAACTTTTCCACCATGGAACATATAAAGGCATTAATAACAATGCAAATATCATTTTAAAACTTGCGCATTTTCATGACCTTAACATATTTCAAAACTAAGCCCCCATTTAATTTCCATTTTTGGAATAAAATGCATTATGAAATAGTAATTTTTTGGAAAATATGTTGTGGGTGGAAAAGAGTGTTTGTGACCACTTATGTTATGATCGGTAAATAATACATGGCTGAATCTCCGTGACTAAATTTATATTATGTGACCTAAAAATTGTGACCATGACTTACAATTGATTAAGTTGTGAACGAAATATTAATCGTGACCAATTAATCTAAAATTCGCAATGAATATATGAGTTGTGACCAATAAAAGTTTTGATTATGAGACCAATGAATAATTTGTGACCTATAAAAATTTTTACTCGTAATCGAAAAATAATATGTGACCTATAAAATTTTTGATTTGTGATCGAAAAAAAAGTTGTGACCATTAAATTGATAGGTTGTGACTAAAAGTTATTCCGTGACTAATTAATTTTTTGATTTGTGATCTATGAACAAATTGTGACCTGCAAAATTTTTAAATTGTGATCGTAAAATAATTTGTGGCATAAAATTTTTAATTTGTGATCAAAAAATAATAATTTAGTAATTAAATTGTTAATTCTTGCTCAAATTGTATAGATCTGTGATCTAAATATATTTAATTAATTAAATAATTAAATCATAAATAAATTTTAATAAAAATATAATTTTTGAAGTTTGAAACTTGTTTTCTTAATTTTGAAATATGTCATTCTTGTTTTCTTACTTATGCAATTTTTTCTTTTACAAAAATGGAATTTAG